CGATGACACACATTTCGTGTGTTTTATGTGAGCAGTTCTGTTCGAACAATTGGAGTAGAGAATATTGTAAGTTACTGCTAGCAAAACAATGCGAAATATGTAATTATTTTCGGTAATCCGGACACTTTTGGTAATCTGACAAACCTTTGGTCCCATACCTGTCGGATTATCAAGGGACAACTGTATTACCGTATTGGTGTCTTAACAAATATCAAAACAGTTTATAGCAACATTTAAACTTTGTAAAATCATGATAAATTCTTCTATATACTGAATTACTCTAAAGATTCTTACAACAATTTAAATTTAGTAGAAACTTAATATTACGCCGTTTTCAGACAAACCACTGAATTGTGCCACTCACTGTCAGTAGCGCTACCAAGTGGTTTGTCTGAAATCAACGTAAAGATAGGGCAATTGCTCCTGTTGAAATTATTGTACAATAATTATATTGTAAAATGAAATAGATAAGTAGCCGTTACGCTTACACAAAAAAAGTCTTCAGGCAACGAAATGGTCAATGTAAATTATTCTCCGAGTCGTGATCAGACTCTTCATTGTGAAAGGCACCATTACAGCATTATTATTGACAATATCCTCCACTACAAATAATTTTATATTGCAGAATTTGATAAAACATTAATATATTGTTAGTGTAAAATTAAAACGATTTCAAGTAAGATAATTCACAATGTTTTTTTTAAACCAAATTTCAGTGGTTTTCTTCTCTCGTATTGCAAGCAGGACAGTGTGAAATCTGCAATGGATATTTTCGTCTTATTGATAAAAAGAATAATCAAGTGAGAGAATTTTAAATTTATTCCAAAATTTAATATTTATTTGTATATGTTGATAATTCGTTCAGATATAGTGAAAAGGAAGGTAAAATATTTGAAAAAAAAATTGTTTTAAANTATGGTGAGTTTTTGTTCGTATCGTGGAGCAAAAATATGTTCGAATTTCATGTCGTATCCTGAAAATTTCGTATGCTGGGGCGTTTGTAACCTGAGGTACCACTGTATATAAAAATTTATATTAAGTGTAATATTACCGTATTGGTGTCAACAAATATCAAAACAGTTTATAGCAACATTTAAACTTTGTGAAATCATGATAAATTCTTCCATATACTGAATTACTCTAAAGATTCTTACAACAATTTACATTTGGTAGAAACTTAATATTAGGCCGTTTTCAGACACCAATGAATTGTGCCACTCAGTAGCGCTACCAAGTGGTTCGTCTGAATTCAACATAAAGATAGGGCAATTGCTCCTGTTGAAATTATTGTACAATAATTACATTGTAAAATTAAATAGATTAACTTATAAGTAGTCGTTACGCTTAAACAAGAAAAGTATTCAGGTAATGAAATGGTCAATCTAAATTGTTCTCCGAGTCGTGAGCAGACTCTTCGTTGTGAAAGGCACCATTAGAGCATTATTATTAACTATATTCTGCAATACAAATAATTTTATATTGCAGAATTTGATAAAACATTAATATATTGTTAGTGTAAAATTAAATCGGTTACATATATGATAATTCACAATGTTTTTTTAAAACAAATTTCAGTGGTTTTTTTCTCTCGTATCGTAACCAGGGCAGTGTGAAATCTGCAATGGATATTTTCGTCTTATTGATAAAGAAAATAATCAGGTGAGAGAGATATAAATTTATTCCAAAATTTAATATTCGTTTGTATATGTTGACAACTCGTTTAGATATAGTGCAAAGGAAGGTGCAAAATTTGAAGAAAAATTGTTTTAAATATAAACTTTACTCAGAATCGAAACGAAAGACGTTAGTACATTGGCTCACCGATTTTGATCAAACTTTTTTGAGTTTATCGTGCATCACCAACGACTGACATTTGCTAAGCAGTAAAGCGTGCTACAAGAAAATAAACAGGAAAATTGCACAATATCTTAATACACTCATAATTGTTATTATTAGTAGAATGGTTGGTGATTTGGTGAGGACGTGTCAGTTTGTTAGTTGCGAATTTAGTCTGTCAAATTCTGTTAATACCATTGTTTTTTTTATTATAAAACTGTAATTAATACTTTATTCTTAGTGCATTTTAATATTTTATATTATGAGAGATAAAACTGATGTATTTTCTAAAAAGTTTAAACNAAAAGGAAGGTAAAATATTTGAAAAAAAAATTGTTTTAAATATAAACTTTACTCAGAATCGAAAAACGAAAGACGGCAATACGTTGGCTCACCGATTTTGATGAAACTTTTTTGAGTTTATCGTGCATCACCAACGACTGACATTTGCTAAGCAGTAAAGCGTACTACACAAAATTAAACGGGGAAATTGCACAATGTCTTAAAACCTTCATGATTCCTATTACTTACAGAATGGTTGGTGATTTTTTGCGGACGTGTCAGTTTGTTAGTTGTGAATTTAATCTGTCGAATTCTGTTAATACTAATATTTTTTTATTATAAAACTGTAACTAATACTTTATTCTTAGTGCATTTTAATATTTTATATTATGAGAGATAAAACTGATGTATTTTCTAAAAAGTTTAAACAACGTAATGAAATAAAAACAGCGACCTGCTCAAGATACTATTTATTCAATGTCGAAAAAAAAAAAAGGAGTTATACTAAATAATGTATACGTAAAAACAAAACGTTTTCTGCCCATTCGTGTACAATACGTGCTTACTCTGGCAACTAAGTCATTGTTTAACATAAATGTGTCTATAATTGCGTCTTTTTTCGCTAAATAACAATAATTCGAATAAACAAATAAATATTCGCAATTTTTAATAAACAATAAAACAGTGGCTTCAATATCTCGTGCTAACATCGATAGCATAAAAATTAGTTTTGCAAAAGAAACACTACATGATAGCACTGAAAAAGTTTCTATCAGGAATCTTACTTATGTAGAAGCGGCCTTCGAAATTGAGAACTATCATAGCCGAGATTTCGTTCATTTCGGTAGATGAAAAAACGATAATAACTAAAACATTAAGAGCTCCAATATTTTTAAATATAATAAGTTTAAAAAATACGAAGAGTCAATTAAAAAGTATAGTTTTATAAACAGAAACTTTTGTACTACACAAGATTCAAAGCATTTCCTTCTATCTATGAAACTAGCGAGCCATCACCGAACCACCGAAAATCTGCAAATACAGTAATAATAATAATTAAATGTAATAATAAATAAAAAGGTTTTAGTGATTAGGAGATTTTAGATTTAATTGTAATTTTAACAATTTTGATTTAAAATTTTGCATAGTGCGCCTTACTGCTTGGCACAGCCAATTGTTGGAAAGAACTAT